AAAAAAAAAAAAAAAAAAAAAAAAAAAACTTGTTTTGCAACATTGCTGCTAAACAACTTGAGAAGCAATGTTGCGAGTTTACCAACCACGTTCAAGCCTGTTTTACAACAAAATCAGTTTGTTGCAAGTTGCGTGAATGCTGACTTCTGATTGGACAAAATTACGCGGGAGCCTCGCCATACACGGGAATTACGTCACTTCCTGCAAATGCAAATCACGTTTTCCTGGGGCCGGTAAAACGTGCAACATGTAAAGATTTTGTTGCAAAAAGTAGAACTACTCTCTACTTTCTGTAACATCTTTTCGCAACCTGCAACAACCTGAAAACATTAATGAGGCCGATTTTTTTTTGTGGCTCAGTTCTCTTACATACGGTGGCTTTTACCATTCAAATTTCCCAAAATAAATAGCTGGGTTTTTATGTCCCTTATGGGCCACCGTACTTACAAGACCTAACCTAAGGTCTAACCTTACTTTGACGGTTCTTCTCTGCTTTGGAATAAAATTGCAGGAAATGCTATCTCCAGCCACCACGTTATAACAAGCAGAAACTATGACCTGATCAGCTGGTATGCCTGCCAACTTACGCAGGCTGGACGCAAGCAAAGTAATAGGCTGATTTAGCAACAGAACGGGGACGTCATTTGACGACGGGAAAGCGCGCAGAAAGGGCTAAACTCGACTTCCGGTGCCCAATTTGCCGCACAGCCATTGGTCAAGCCACTTGTTTGATTTGTGCGCGCCGTCGTCAACTGACGTTCCCGTTCTGTTGCTAAATAAGCCTAATGAAATCAATCCTTAGAAATAAAATGTCAAAAACAAATTTCCCTCCTATTCTGAGTAACTCCTTCATAAAACTTTGGCACTCCAACATTATTAAAAAAAATATATCACCTAATAACACTTCTACAGTCGCGAATATATTATTTAAAGCAATTTTTTTAAAAGTAAAATAGTGAGACCTAGTGATGCTATACTGATCTTAAGACCCAGTCCAAACGCACGTCATTTTTGCAAACGGAGACTTTTTTCCGTTTTGTCCCTCCTCGTAAATGCGCGTTTCTAGAAATAATGATGATGATAATGAAAATGAAACGGCGTTAACCAAGGACGTTTTTTTGAAGGGCGTCCCAGCTAAAATGTGACAGTGACAGTTTTCGTAACCTTCTAGGTGACAGGCAGTCTCGGAAGTGACCGAGAAAGAAACATCATATCCCAACCCCGCCCCCACCCTTGAAAGGCCTCACGAACATCAACCGGGAGTAAGGCTTTTCCCCTTTTAATATGCCTAAACGCTACTAAAATTGTATAGCTACGTGTCTTTACTCTTATAGGGACGATTTACCAAAAAAAATTGGGTTAAACCACTGCCCAAGGATGCAAAAAGTCCAATTCCGGAAGATGTCAACCCTTGAAAACTACTTTGCTTCAGCTCCCTATTCAATAATTACATTTACATAGCATTAATTCACACATTTGTTTCTCTCAAAAATCTCTCCTCCACAAAGCTTATTTCTTCGTAACTTTCTTCTACCTCCACTGAATCATTCACCGGTAGCTTGGACAGCTGCCTGGATCTCCATACTCTGATAGTCTGATCATCGCTCGCACTGACCAGCATTTGTTGGTTCACAGGGTTGAATGCAACACAGTTCACTACATTACTGTGTCCTTTAAGAGTGGCTAGCTTGGTTCCAAAGTGTCTGTCCCAAACATGAGCACAATGATCCTCTGCTCCACTGAAGATTAAAAACAATAAAATAATGACCGTATTTCCTTGAATAATAGCCATCCCTTGATTAATCGCCTCCTTCGAATAATCGCCCCCTTAGACGGAAATTTTTAAAATAATCGCCTCCCTTGAATTATCGCACCCTCTCACCCTTCTCGCCATCTACTCTTTCTTTTATCCCCTCCCCGTCAAGTTAAAGTGGAGTCTGATCCAGCAAAACTGATCAGTGACCATTCAAGCTCTGAAGCCGAGGACATTGTCATTGAAAATTAATCATGAAACCAAATTTGGAACACTTATTGGACGTGATAGCACTCCCATGGTTCACTGTGTCTGGCCTGTTTCTCAAAAGTGCCGGTAATCAGAGGGTCCTGAAAGCATTTTTGATCACATTTTAGGTAAACCTATTGGTTAACAACACAAATTGGACTGTTTTTTTAACTAGGATCCATGCTGTTATTAGTAAGATTCTTATTTTATTATTTTGATTTGGGCCTGTAAAGTTACCAGGACTTTCAAGATATGGGCCTCGGACTACAGGTCAAGAGGTCTGGGTTCAAACCCTGGCCTGAGTCATCGTGTTTAGTTCTTGGGCAAGACACTTAACTCTCACTGGCAAATTTAGTAATGGGGGAAAACCCTGTGACAGACTGGCATCACATCAAGAGGAAGAAGAAATATTTCTAATCGCTTCATGCTACAGAAACCAGAATAAGTTCTGGCCTTATGAGCCTTTCCTTGCCTTTTTGTATGGTATGCAAGTAGCAGACCTAGGGGCCCTGACCCCCTTTATATGAAACCGTCAATCACTTTTAAAAGAGAAGGGAGCTTATAAACTTTCTTCTCCTGAAAAGGGTGGCTTACTAGAGAGAGGGGCTTATTTGAGAGGAGTGGGGATGGGGGGCTAATTTAAAGAGAATGTTATTACCTTCATGTTCTGAAATAGAGTAATTATGATATAAAAAAATTCAGGTTTGGAATAAAGCCTGGTTTTGAATGTTTAAACGATATGATGTTGGAATCTGTTAACCAAACATATTCATTACCAAATACAAGTATCACAAAATTTCACTGAAAACACCATTCAGTGATATAAAAAATTGATGAAGTTAATACATATGATTGTAAAAGCAATTTCAACCTACACATGTAGGACACAAAAAAAATTTCTTTCGTCTGGCAATACCTAACAATCACGAAAATCTCAGTAAAACGCTTAACTATACTTTGCTATTCATGTGAAATTGTATCCACAAGATAAATGTAAGTTAAAGGAAGATGCTCTACTATCCCCAGGTTTCAATTATGGCATCTGGATCAATAGCTAAGCTTGAAAAAATAGTTCCACCTGGTTAAGTCCAGGACAAGCAGATTCTCTTGCTGGGCGAGTTACAATTGAAGCTTACTTGCCCATTGGGCAAGCGTCACAGGGGTGGATCCAGGATTTTTCTTAGGAGGGGGTGCACCCCTAAGCAATGGCATAACTGACTGGTGACGTGACGTGCCAAACTACCATTTTTACAGCATTTAAGCTGGCTGAACACAGTTTCAGCAGTTTGTGAGTATATGTCACTTGCCAAATCATGGCAAGAAAAAGGTTGCAGCTCACAAGCTGAAACTTGGCAAGTGAAAAATATACTGACAAAAGATTTTGATTGACAGGTAATATGTGACGTTTTCGTTGTTTCCATGCAACATGAACGATTGAATACAACCTTACAATTTCACTTTTGCTCAGTTTACATAAAATTCCCTCATTAGATTTTCCTATAAACTTGCACACAGCTTACTACAATTAATCATTACTATTTGAAACTTATTTGACCAAATTTTAACAGACGGTTTTTAGATAATCAATAATATAATTGTACTGTTATTATCAAATGTGTCATAAAATTCGTCTGTTCAACTTCTAAAGTTCTCATTATTTAAAATACGATAAAAGTAAAAATTCTGCCAAATATCACAAAATTTTAATAATGAGTAGATTTTGAGAAATTGTCTTTTGTGTACCATTGCTTTTTCTCCACCATGTTTGTATGTCTAATTTAAAACTCGTGCCGTCACGCGAGTTACCGCTGACTACCTGCAAAACTGTGTTTGGTCACCTTAACATAAATTCTTCAACCTTGTCTGATGTTTTACTTCACCACCAATAAACCACAATGTTTTTTTTGCAGAATATCAGTTGTATTAGAAAGCTGTAGGTCATCTCGGGAGGGGGGGGGCACACTCCCTGCACCCTCCCCCTCGATCTGCCCCTGTGTCAAGGCAAGTCAACCTCTGAGAAAATCATTAACTAAAGTCAGGGAAAGAAGTGGGTCCGGGGTAATCAAAATGAGGGCGCTGCTTACCCAAAGTGCAAGCTCGAATTCAAGTGTCTTTTTAACAATTGTGTTTATTTGGATTGACCTAAATGTGAATTATATTCTGAGTATGGCTCTTGGAATATTTGGTGCGATAGAGTGGTTTTCGTTTGAGTGTCGTAAAACCAAAACCAAAGTAATTACTCTGGCCAATCACATAGGACACAGACAATACATTGAACCAATCAAAACTCGAAGTAATTACATGTGGCTGACGCAAAGCTTGCGAGCGCGTCACAATTGGCTTTGGTTTTACTTCTGATTGGATGAAAAGGTGGCGCGAATCTTTTAAGCCAATCGCATCGTGTAGAAAGTGCAAAACCAATTACTTTTCGACACTCAAATGAAAACCGCCCTAAATGGAGGTCTTACCTTGCAACAAACTTGTCTGCAACATTAAGAAAAATAAAGAAGCAGCCATCATTAGGAGTATATGCTTCATGGCCAGTATGAACACCAACAAGTTTGTATGTGGCCAAGCTGTAAACCCGCAAGGTTATTTCACTGGAGATTTCTGGAGGAGAAGCAATTAGCCGTGGAGCAATTCTATCTTTCCCATCTTGCTGTTGCCAAGGGCGACAATTGACATAGAGAAATTGGTGATCTGGTGACAAGCTCATGCCAATAATGTGAGCATTGGTTTCGATACAATGTTCCTCTTCTGTGTAACATGGTTCATAGCCAACTTCACCTTTTCTGCCTCTTTCCATGCAGCTACTGTTTGTATGGCTGTTTCTAATTATGGACAGTTTCCTTGTGGCATAATCTCCATTTTCAAGTTTAAGCCATTTGAAGACAATCTGATGGGGGACATAAGTCACTGTGCCATGGGTAAAAATCAAGCAAATATGATCATCTCTTTGCAATGCTGAGGAACCTTTGGTAGGTCGTGAACTACACTTGCCGCTTGGCCTGGCTACAAGAACAGTTCTCACAGAGCTAGAATTGTAATTAACAACCCGGGCCAGTTTTGTTTGATAGTCTTCACTAAAACCATACGCACAGTTTGCCCACAACTCTGAAGTAGATGAATCGTTTTCCATGAATTCAAATGTGCCTGAAATATAGTATCTTTCTGTTAGCCAAGCTCCAAACACATCATATGGTTCACTGTTTACACAATGAAGTACACCAACTGCATTGAATCCTTGAAGCTGAAGTATGAAGATTTCACCTGTAAAAGTAAACACAGTCTATAGCAACAGGCATAAAAAATGTAAAGGACAACAATGTCATAGCCTGCGCCACAGATGAAACTAAACTCTGGTTAAGTCCATCCGTGAAACAGTATGTTGAAATACTAGTCTTATTCTGGGCAAGCACCAATGTACCAGGATTTGAGTACTTGTCATGATTTGCCAATCACGTTAAAAGGAAATTCAAAATGCACTTCCAGTAATGCGCTGAGTCTGTAGGGGGCCCCGAACAAGGATCTTAGCGCTGCTTCACAGACATTACTAACTGGGGTTACATTACATGTAGATCCGCGACACAGGCTACAATTTCATTGCCCCTTACAAAATACAACCATATTTGAGACTGTTGTCCATTTGACTCAAAGGCTTCCAACGTTCTTTATGCAGTGGCAGATGTGCTTTCCCCAAACTTTCCATTCAACTTTTTTTTCTGTTGTGCCAATAGAAATTGAAAACAATAATTATTATTGTCAGTTACCTATCACTATCAACTTTTACTAAACACATTATTTGCCCCTGAAACAAAGTGAACTGTATTGACCTGAGATCTCAGACTATCAAAACCTTTATCATGATCCAAGCAGTGTACAGTTGGCTCTCTCTTAACCGACACCTTTATAAGATGAACACCTAGATTTGGTCCCTGTCTTTCTTTGCACCCTTGATGTGACTCTCTATAAAATGGACATCTCTCTAAGCTGGACACTTACTGCTGGTCCCAAACGTGTCCGTCTTAAAGAGAGTTGGCAGTGTAAACTAAGGGTTCCTTGATAAGTTGTCTTATCACCTTCGTCATCATCATCATCATCATCATCATCATGATCATCATTATCACCACCATCACCATCATCATTAACTATCATTTTATTCTCATTATATTATTATTATTACTATTATTTTTGTCATTATTTTTATCAAGGGTTCCTTGAATAAGTTGTCTTATCATTGTCGTCAACATTATCATCATCATCATCGTCGTCATCATCATTATCATCATCATCACCACCACCACTGTCACCATCATCATTATCAATTATTATTCTCATGATATTATTATTATTACTATTATTATTATCATTATTTTTATTATTGGGGCAAACAAAGTGTATTATGGAAAATTTAAAAAAGGTAAATGAAAAGAACTCACCTCTAAAACTCAAGTCTCGCATCTTATTAACCCCTGATACAAGAAGGAGAGTGCTGGTTTTATTGAATTCACAAAACTGAACATACTCCCAATTGTGATCTTCAAAGTTTATCTTTTCCACCATTTTAACACGATGGAAATCGTAGACCCGCCAGAGAATCACGCTGCAATCTTTCGAACTTGATGCCAAAAGTTGACCATCGTGTGAAAAAGTCACGTGAAGAACTTCATCGGTGTGTTCCTTCAGTACCTGGCCTTCCACTACAGGGGTGGTTTGGTAGATTCTTTTATATTCTTCAAACCAAGAAGATGATTTAACCGGAAGCTCAATGTTGTCGCCTGCTCTGTTGAGCAAAGTCTTTTGAAGCAAGTGTTTCCAGAGCAATTCATCCTCAGAAACGCGATTCCAGTTTCGACAGACTTCACCAGCAAGGACAACTTCATTCGGAGAAAGAAAACAAAAAATGTGCAGCAGGAGACTGTCTGGAAGATTTCTCCAAATGTTGTTGAATCCAACCAACATCGGTGATTTAGTTCTTGCTACAGACATTTGAGTAGAATTGAAGCTTCTCCCCTAAACTCGTCTTTAGGTATCAGGAAACGAAAAATAAAAATTCTTCCAACTTTCTATCAAGCATTCGGGTACGTTTCGATCCGACATTTTTTTGTTTAGCTTTTAATAGTCCCCGTTCATGTAAGGCAGCACCAAAGGTCCCGAGCAATCTCTGGGATGGGAGGACCCGTTTAGATTTTTTGACAAGCAACGCATTCTTCTAAATATGGTCAAATAGGGGGTGTGTATCTTAATTTGAACCAATCAACGTCAAGGTTATCCGGCAATACCCCGAAGTCCTATTAGTCAGTCGGATGTCTTCTAGCGGTAAAATTTAAAATGGCGGAATCGGAAGAGGCCGAAGTAGATTATTACGCTGTTTTGAACGTCAGCAAAGAGGTAAAAGTTGTCTTTCAAAGAGAAAAAAAAAGAGAAACATTTGATCAGTCATATAAAGTGCATTTTATTTCATTTCAGCCAAACGATGATGAGCTTAAAGCTGCTTCCAGATGCATGTGCACATCATATCAACTTGCAAACATCAAGACCCGCGAAAAAGAAGGTAAGGTTGAAAAAGCTTAAACCTTGCTCGCACTTAGCAAAATTTTGTTTGTTTTGCAAAAAAATCTGCCAACAGGGAGCTATTTCTAGTGTGAATGATTTTTTCCACCCGCCAAAATTATCTCAACTGTCACCAAAGTTCAAAGATGGCGTCCAGAAGATTTGGAGGCCTACAATTTTTTGTCAGGCGACAAACTCTCTATTCCTTACCATTAACAGCTACCCTTCACCATGTTATACAACAAGATTCTTTGACCTAAATCTTAAAAAGTACGCAGCCGTTTTCTTAAAACCTTGTTAATATGACCATCTCCTCCTGGGGGTTTTGCAGAAAAACTTGTTTTGAAGCTAGTCGAGACATTTACTGCTTTTGGGAAAGCTTTTTGGATCGCTGCTCAGGAGCGAACAGCTAAATACCACCAGAGTTCCATGGCTTTTATGTGGTCTCATGAAGGATTGTTTCACTGTAGACATTGTAATTATTTAGCAGTAAGATTTAGTTTACATTTAAACATCATGCCGGTACCCTCTGCCTATCCTCATAGTGGCCAACATATAGATTTAGCCAGGGCTAAAAGCGAAGCTCCCATTAATAAATTTGTAATTGAAAACAAACAATAAATTTGTAATCCACAAATTGGTTAACTCGAGGGCACATTCATGTGACTTTTGAGGGAAAGGCTAAGTCATTTTAGAGTGAAACATCTTACATCGACTTGATAGCCTTACCATATATGTTTAGCCAAAAAATAGCAAACATCTTCGATCACATTCAAGAGCCATAATGGCTCTTGATCATAGTAGATTAGGCGTCAAAAATCTTGCCAACAAATCTGAGATTGTGTAGACCAACCTTTTTACACTTTATATACATCACATCTGAGGTAAAACCGTCCTATTTATCATACAGACCTTGGACAGAATGCTGTGTTTCACAATTTTTCAAGACAAATTGCACTTAATCAATATTCAGGACGATCAATCGCGCACTTTTAGTGAAACCGTTCTAAAAATTTCCAAAATCATCCATAAGGCCAGCCGGTTCTCATTTCTAGTGCGAGCTGTCAGTGTGGTCGAGTGTTTGAATGAACTTTAATAGAGTTACGCCTCAACATAATAATGAATTTATTATTATTATTTTTTTGTTTTTTAATCATGGTTTCAGTTATAACGATGTGTGATCTTATAAAGCGTTTGATACGCGTGACTATTTTAAGTACTCCTGCAAGCGATATTGATGAACAATGACAATGAAAACAAACGGCACGGACAAGTGATTAAAATTACAAGAGAGACTAATAACAATCAACAAAAGAAATATAATTCGGTGAAACATTTACAGAGACAACAATTTTCATTAATGAAGACAAGTATTTAAGTGTCTCTAAAATCCTGAGTCTTTACAACTGTAAGCTTAAAGCTTAAGCTTAAGTTAATTATGTTTTACTTTAAGCCGGCCTCCCAGTGTTTGCTTTTTTCAAAGATGAAGTCCTCGAAGCAAGAAAATCGCTCAAAGTTTTCTTTCTACAGCCAAATTTATAACTAAATATTCTTCGGAATGTTTTCTTTCTATTTGCAGTGAGAAAATAATTTTTATATCTGAAGGCCTTTTAAAGTTCTTTAAGCTTATATCAAACCTAGGTCAGATCATTGACTCAGATCTTACAAACGCACATAAACTGGCCGCATAAACTGTGCTCGACTTCATGAAATAAGATATAACAAAAACAAACATCAAAAAAACATTGTATTTAATATAATGATTACTCAGGCTTACCATTCGAAATTCAGTTCCTGAAAGCTATCAAGGAAGGCCACAGTTGCTTGAGACTTTTAAACCCTCTTACGCATTAAGCAAGGTGAAAAACGGAAACGATGCCATCTGAAATCAGATTACTGAACTTTGACAAGTGACGCATTTCTCAAGCAAAAACCCAATAAACAAACAAGCCATGAATAACAGAAGATTCTAGATAGCAGCTGTATTTCATTTTGTACATCCAGTGGAAAAAGACAGTTAAAAAAACATCACAAATTAACACAAAACTCTGTCAGCTTCAGCTGTCAAAGTAAACAACTTTCAAGATGCTGCATAAATTTTCCGCATGAACTCACCTGTCAAATTTTGACCAATCAGAGCATAAAAATTGGATGTAGAGCGTGACCAATGCGTGACCATGGTAAGAAAAGGTCTTCCCCACCTGTATTTTTAAAAAACTGGCTGAATTTTCATGTCCGAGGTCAGTTTGAAATCAAAGTCTTAACAGTGCAGGGCCATAGTGACATAAACACAACATATTTCATGTGAATCATTGGAAAAAATAAACTTGAGCCTGCGATCATTTGAAACTGGTAATTTGTCAGCGGATAACTTCAAAAAATACTCGACCTCGATGGGTGGACACTTGAGCCTGTGGTATGGTCAGGTGATACTGGTCAGCGGATACCCTGTTTTGACAGCTGTCAATTGATCACAACGTTGATGTGCAATTAGTTTTTACTAGCTAGAAAGTCTGAGAGTAGACATTGGTTTCCCTGTGGTGCGGACGGACGCTCAGTTGTCTGTATACGGTCAGGTGATTACCGAATTTTCTGGGATGGGTAGATTTACTTAGCTATGGGGCTCCGCCCACGCATTGCGCTTTGCGCTGCGCATGGAGCTCCCCAAATAATTACTGCTTTTACGTAAAATTGATGGTACAAGCAACTGTTTATTTACACTTGTTTCACAAATTGCTTTAGAGTTATTCAATAAAATTCAAAAGTCTTATGAGGGTACACAGTATGGTACCCATGTACTACAGTGTACTGTATGTATTAGTACCACCCGTCGAAGAAGCACCATGCCAGTGCAATCAAAATAATGTTTCTGTTTTGAATAAACACCACATTTAAGGAGTGAAAATTTTAATTAGTGGCATGGCAATAATTATTATTTGAGTAAATATAGCAATGCAATGCTCCACAGGTCTCCGCAAGCTCAATTTTTCTTCAAAGTCACCTTTTGGCGACCTAAACTTATATAACGATTGCCAGACATAAAATATTGGTTTCCATGAAAAAAAGGAAAATAAAGATATAAAAACATACTTGGTGCAATAATTTTATATTACATGTACATGAAAGGTTTTACCATTGACCACATTGATTGCTGGTACTTCACTTTCTCGTGTTTTAACTCCTAATACTCAAGCATGTCTTAGATTATAGCCCAGTTTTCTGCATTGATGGGAAAGAAAACATTTAAAGTTAAGAAAGACCTTTAACACTCGCTAACAAAATAACTTAGTACATCATGGCACATTTCTGCCAAACACAGGTTCCAAAATTGGTGACTTTCACCACAAGTTTAGTTTCCAAATTGTTTTACCCTCCATAGCGACCAAAATGGTCACAGCTTGGAGTGCTGTAATGACTCTCTGAAAAGATTAGAAATAGAAGATTTCTGTACATCTGGGGCGCTTTCCATTCAACAAACATCCCGGTTTGAAATTTCGGAAATTCCACATGCCCGATGGAACGGTACATTCTTGTTACACAGACCTGACCCAAGCCACCGTGCATTTGGTTATTAGAGACCTTCGCATTCTAAGACAAGAACGACTTTGAGTATGACATTTTCTCTATACTAAATAGTAAGCGCGCATAAACAAGCGTCATTTTGGCGGGAAAATGTGATAGTCATGGTTACTCTGCTACGAGTTTTAGCGAGAATGTCGTGTTAGTGGACACAAGTTATAAAGTGTTATAGGTTTTATTATTTTTTTGGCTGGCAGATAGCTCAGAAAATCCTTCAATCAAGTAGCCTGTGTACAGATGTCCCCCCTCCCTCAGAAAAAATCGGGAGAAGAGACGTCTGTGAATCGCCGTGTTCCCGTTTCCCTGGAATGTTGGGGACAGCCTCTGATTAGTTAAATGCACCTATCAATGTAAACCCCGTGGGGGGGAGTGCGGGCAAGGGGTGGAGATTTGACAAATTTTAAAAAAAAAACTAGTTTAAGGGGTCCCACCCTTTGCTTTCCAGTTAGTTTTCACAGTTTTTTCGGGGGTGGGGTCCCCTTTTTTAGATTTGTTTGTTATGATATTATGACATATTTTGCTTAATTAAGAACATTTTAAAAATATGTCCTTACTAAACATAAGCTCCGTTAAATTACTCGCTGTAATTAAGTATTATCTCTCTCCACTAGCATCTCTTATTTTGAACAACAAAATCACTCTAGGAAGATTGACCCTGCTATTATAATATTAATGAAACGTAAAATACTTTATAACGTCTGCTCAACTTGTCGGAACAGGTCGGATCAGTGAGCCATAAAAAATCCTCTGACTTTCATGGTGGAATTCAATTTCAATCGAGTTTTACAATCAGATGGGAACTTGAAGATAAAAACTTTCTCAAAATAGACATCTGTTTAGATGACAGTTTAAAGTAT